CCGCCGCTGCCGAGCAGCACACCGTACCCAGAGCGGCCGCGCGCAGACGCCGAGCGGGCGGACCGGGGCGGGCGCAAGCTGGAGCTCTTTCCAACCCGCGGCGCGACTGCTGTGTGCACAGCAACAGCACAGTCTTGTCCTTGCTGCGGGTCCTCCTCCAGCTCGTGGAACACCTCGATGGAAACCATCCCGTCAAGGTTTATGCCCTGCAGCGTCATCTCAAAGGGGCAAAAAAACGGCAGAGCGTAGTTTTCATCCGCCTCCTCCGCGCTTGCCCCAACCGTGTCGAGGTTGATCTCCAGGCCGCACAGTTGCACCGAGAAGTCGCCATTGTAGCGGAACTTCACCATGATCGCAGTGTGCTCCGCCGACAGCACGCGAATGCCACTGAGCGCAACCTCCGGTGGAATGCAGCCCNCAACTCGCCCACACTCACCGTGCCACGGATTTGTGCGTTTTTGCCACCCTCCATCGACTTTCGGATGGCTTTCTCAATGGAGGTGCGAATCACCTCTTTACTCTCCGGAGACCACGTCTTGGGCCACTCCCATTGCAGCATCCCCGGCACTAATTCCCTTTAGTAAAGCAAGCAAGGGAGAAAAAGAGAAGAAGTATGGATGTGTGTACCACATCGCACCAATGATCTTCACTGCATCATTTCCAAGACATATATATATATATGCGCAAGCACAGAGGCACGCAGGCACACACACAGGCGCAAGGATGGCAAACTAAATACGCCGCTCACCAGGGGAGCGACCAAACGGGATGACACTGCCCACCATGCTGCCCACATCCGCCGCGCCCTTGCCCGGTGGTTTCGTATGCTGTCCGAAACGGCGCAGAACTGTGTCACGAGGCTGAAGCTTCCACTCCGTGCGCAGCTGGCGGAGCTCATGCGGCGGGACTTGCAGTACAGGAATGTCCACGTCATACGACACCGTCTCGCCGTCGGCTTCAAGCTGCGATTCCATGGCAGCGGTGAAGGATTTAATGGCTGGNGTCATACGACACCGTCTCGCCGTCGGCTTCAAGCTGCGATTCCATGGCAGCGGTGAAGGATTTAATGGCTGGTGTGTCGCCAAAAGCCTCGGCACACAACCTCACGCAGATGAGGGTGTCTTTGTTTGGCTGCACCTTGAGGAGGGTGAACAGCCTCACGATCTCCTCCGTCATGCCAAGTGACCCGTTCGGTGGTGTCGCATTTGCGTTAGCCTGCAGCAGCGAGTTGAGCATGCGTGTGGAAAAGGGTTTGCCGAAGCCCACAAGTCGCTTCAGCACGCCAAATCCCGTGGCAACGGCTCCCAGGTGAGCACATAGCTCAAGGAATTGGTCGTAGATCAATGAGATGTGGTCAACACTACTCCCCACCAACTCCAGCCGCTGTATTATCGCCTCACAGCGCTCCAGCATCACCACGCGTGGTTCGTCACAGTGGGTACACGCCTGAATGAAGAGAAGTGTCATCTCCGGTGTGGGATTCATGTTCATGTGCAGAAAGTGTTGGTCATAGATGGCAAGCGCAAGCTCCCCGTCACGCTGAAGTGCACAGTACANAAACGCCACAGTGAAAAGAGCAATATCCGGCGTCAAGCCACGCGGCGTTAATTGAGAGAAGACATCCATGACGTAGTCGCCAAAGTCGGCCACACCACGAAGGGCATAGACCAGCCAGTGGAAACACTCCATCGAAAGACGGATTCCAGAGGCGTCAGCAAAGCTCTGTGCTCTTAGCACAAGTGTCGGCTTCTCAAACGCACAGCACATGCGCATGTACGCCTCAACAGACGCCGTCGTCCGTGGCAGCTGGTAGAAGTCATAAAGAGCCCAAAGCTCAAGACCACGCCGCTCCAACTCTTCCCAACGTTCTTTATGTTGCTGTGGATGCTGCTTCTTCTGCCCTTCATTGTCATATGCCTTGGCTTCCGCCTCCGCCTCCTTTGAGAGGTTCTCAGCGCCCATGGCGCACAGCATCATAGCCTTATCTAGCATGGTCGAGCGCGGCCGCAAGCTCCGCGTGATAGTTTCTTCCATGACACTCATTCCCTCTTCAATACGCCGCGCCGTGACGCAGAGTGTCAGCAGCGCGTCAAAGAAGTAAGTGTTCAGCGCAAAGGAATCGGGGGATTCCGCTTCCATCTCACGTGCTCGTGCCGCATAGACGTCCCATCCCTCCTCCCATTTGCCGCTCGCAGCGGCACAGAGCACCATCTCCGCGTGCGTCTCCACACCAATGTCCACTGGCGGTATGTTCGTCACAATTAAGCGCTCGAACATCTCTGCCGCACACTGGAAGCTACTGTGTCGTTCCCACTCCTCCAGCATCTCAATCTGCTGGCGCTGGTAGCGGATGAGGGCAGCACAGCTCTTGTCGGGCAGCGGCACGCGCTGATACAAGAAGTCTGTAAGCAGACGGCCGGGCGTGGGGAGCAGCCGGGCGTGCCGCACGAGCTTGTCAATGTCAAGGATGTGCATGTCGCGCTTGAAGTACCCATAACGTGCGTAGCGGAGGTTCTTCGCGAGCGCCGTCTGGTTGTAGACGTGCTTCATGTGCGGGCGATCGGGGTCGACCCACACGCGGTACGCCTTCTCGAAGCCAGGCTCGCCGCCGTACAGCCCCATCGCTGCGTTGCTCAGCGCCGGCCGGTGCAGCTCCCGGTACGCTGGGCTGCGAATGTGGTGCTCGTATGCCAGCCGCTCCGCTGCGGTGTCGTCATGCCACAACGCGGCGTCAGGCGGGGCATCGCGGTGATCGGCGGCGTAACGCCGCGCCGCATCTGCCGCCATCGCGGCGAAACATAGCCGGCCGATGGAACGCGACAGCATCGCTAACAGTGGACTGTGTCAAGAGCAAGTAGGAATAAAAGAAACGGTCTGTTGCCCACAGATAGGCAGCAAGCCAATGGGGGGGTCGGGGCGAACAGCAGTAGCACAAATGGCGGCGCCACAGGAAAGCACACGCACGCAACCACTCGTAGCGGCAGTACTGTTGCTCATCTCTCTTTACATGACACACGCACACATACACCTACACAAGCAGGCCCAGGCCTGAGCATAGCCGCGCGAAACCAATAAGAAAACACCAACCACAATGTCAGCCGTCACTCTTTTCTCTTTCTCCCCGTCTGCCTTTATATTGGTGCTGTTTTTTTTTTTTCCTTTGCATGGCAGGATTACAGAGTTGGCGGCTGCAGAGTGATGTTTTTCTCCCGCGCTTTTTCCTCTAGCTTCGTTGCAATCTCGCGCAGGCGGCTCAGCTCCACGCGCTGCATCGCAACCTCGCGCGCCGTCTCGTCTTCATACGCGGAGGTGGAGTTCGGGTCAGCCGTGCGCCACATACCCGCCTTGCCGGCAAGCAGCCGCGCCTCTTTGCGCAGGTCGTTGATCTCCCTGATGAGGATAACGTTCTCCGTGGTGATGCGGTACTTGTCGCCGCGGTTGTTCTCCGTGTCCTTGTTGACCTTGTTCTTCAGCCCCGCGAAGTTGCGCTCGAGGTGGTCGCGCTCGCGGTTGTACTCCCGCACCTCATCTGCTGCCGTGCGGGAGGCAAGCGGCTTCGTCGCGGCAATGGCCTTGTTGGAAGTGTACTTGTCAAATAGCAGCTTCGCCGACTCCTTCAGCTTGCGCGGGTTCGTCTCGTCGCGCAGGTCACACAGCTCCGTCCAGAGCCGCGACTGGTACTCCGCGAAGCTTCGCATGCCCACCGCGAGTTTCTCAAGCTCCTTCTGCTGGCCCGCCTTCTTCTGACGCAGGTTGCGTATCTGCAGCACGAGGTGCTCGTTGCTGTGCGTGTACTGATCCGCCTCCTTGCCCATCTCTGCGAGGCGGCTCTTCGCCTGCCGTATCTCCTCGTCGCGCGGGTCAATCTGCGACTTGAGCTCTTTAATCTTGTACTCTAGCACGAATTTGAACTTCTCCAGCTCCTGATTTTTCTTTTTCAGGTCAACCACGCGCCGCTCCTTCTCCGCAATTGTCTCCCCGCGATCCTTGAACTCGTGGGTGAGAGCCTTTATGTCGCGCTTCGCGGCCTCAATTTGCGCCTCCAGCGTCGCCTGATGCCGAAGTTTCTCCCGCACCTCCGCCTTGATCGCCTCCAGGTCCGCTTTGGTGATATTCTCACGCGATAGCAGTGCATCGTTGGCGGCCCGCAGCGCGGCAACCTCCTCCTCTTGCTCCTTGCGCCGCTTCTCGACGCCTTCCTTGAGCGTAACCACCTCCACATCGGTGTCTTCCTCAATCAGGGCACAGTACTCGTCGGTTTGACGCTCATCCTCCTCTTTCTCAAGCAACAGCTGTTGATGTCGTTCATCCATCTCTCGTATGATACGTCGCTGGTTCTCCTTGTCGTCAGCACGCACTCGCGCCGCATTCTCGCGTATCCCCTCGATGTGGGCGTTGTGCTCGCGCTGCCGCTCGTCAATGAGCTGCCGCAGACGATCGGCACGGTCACGCAATGACTCAATCTTGACGCTGTAGTCCTCTCTGGTGCGGTGAAGGTCCTCTTTCTCTTTTTTCTCCATCTCCGCCATGAACTCTGTGAAGCGAATGGCCTGCTCATTCTTCTCCGCCTTGAGAGCCTCGAACTGCGCGATCCGTCGTGCCCGCTCCTCCGCGTACTCTCGGTCCAACTTGGCAATCTGCTCCTCGTGGACCCTGTCACGCTTGATCTGCTGCTGCAGCATTCTCTGCTTAAGCTCGTTCGTCTCCGTGTTGAGGGTCACAACCGCCTTCGTCGACGCCTCCAAGTCGCTGCGAGCCATGAATAACTCCCGTGCGTACTCCACCTCCTTGTGTGGCCCACGGTAGGGTGCCACAACGTCCCAGAACACCACAGCACCGTCGTCGCCCACGCTCACCACCATCGACTCGTCAAACGTAAGTGCGACGCGTGAAACGATTCCGGCGTGGGCGTTGTGTGACTCAATCATGATGCCTGTGGTGTTTTCTCGATCCCGATCATTTGCTGAGAGTTTCTCACCAAGGTACGTATTAAACACACGAACAGTTCCATCCTCACATCCACCGATGAGCAACTTCAACTTGGCACTAATCGCCATGGAGTACAGAGAGGCGTTCTGCAAATCGTAGTCTGCAACCTGCTGCAATTTGGTGCGATCAAACTGACGGAGTTTACGGTCATTGCCAGCCGCCCACACAGTGCCTACATCAGCCGCCGCACAGTTGTATGTCATCGATTTGAGTACATTGTCGTTGACTTTGTGAAAGTCACAGAGGTTAAACTCGTATACAGCACCATCAAGGCCTACAGTAACGATCTTCGTATCGTCTGGGGGAACGAAAAAAACACTCTTCACTTTACCACTGTGGCCGCGTAGGTGGCCCATAAGTTCACACGTGTACGTGAAGTACACATGGATCGTTGTGGCATGTACAGCCGCGAAGAACTGGCCGCCGCTGCTGAACCGGCATTCCATACAAGAGCGGATTCCAATGTTTTTAAACTCCCGAATATCATTGTTGTACAAATTCATCATGCGGAGTCCGTCCGCGAGTCCCACGAGGAGATGTAGCCCGGATGGGTGCATAGCTACGCTGTAAATGTCCGTATGGAACCGTTTTCGGAATTCAACGATGCCTGTGATGAGGTTCCACAGGAAAATGCAACGATCGCGGCCGGCAGTAACCGCGAACGGTCGCTGAACGCACACATCGACGCCTACAACAGGCCCTGAGTGGAACGGCTGGCCAATTGGCTCAAACACGCGCTCATCTGACTTGAAGAAGTCCGCATTGGGGAGGTTAAGGGAGTACAGCTGTTTTGTGCTGGTCATGAAAGAAACGTACTCCTCAGCAGGTGGCGGGGAAAGCGTGAAGGAGAGAATAACTGGCACAACCTCACTTGCGGGCCCCATGTTCTCCGCATCGTTGTTAAACTTGAACGTTCGCACTTTGCGGTACATCTCCTTGTTGTCTGTTCGCTCAAAAATACTGACAAGTCCCATATCACCCCCACAGATAAAACCTTTGCTGTATGCCACGAGTGTGTTGATAGAAATCCCGTCTGATGGCGACAGTGGGAGTGGGTATTTGTATTCGTTGTTTTCCATCAAGATGAGATCACCATTCTCTGTCGACAGAATAAGGCGATTCTCGGCGGGAATCCACAGATGTGCAAGGTAGTTTGTGACGGGCTCGTGCAAGCCCCCCGAAGTTGGTCGCAGATGGCTATCCTGCAGCATGAAAAACTTCACAATGCCGCTACCAGAGACACATACAAGGGAAGGGTCGTTCGGGCAGATGCTGCACTGGTTGAGCAGGTGCCGTTCACCCCCGCCCTGATCGCCTTCTTCAAGTACGGAGCATGACGCCACGACCTTCGCGCGCTCGACACTCCAGTATACAACGTTCCACTCGGGGGCGCCACCGAGCGAGACAAGGTATCGCCCATCCTGCGAGAAACACAGTGACACGTATTCAGTGGAGCCGAGATCCGGCACCAGCAGCACCTTCTTCCGTTTCAGCTTTGGGCTGCTCGCCACATCACATACATAAATGACGATGCAGGGCTGCTTGAAACTCTCCGCAACGGCCAGTAAACGGCGATTGTAGGACACCGTGATAGCTGTGACGGTCTCGCAGTTTGGCGTGCACGGTACCAGCTGCTGTGTACCCAGCTGTGTGTCGAGCACGACAAGACTCTTCCCCGCGACCCACATCACATTGGTCTCGTCGAGGTACTGGAATCCATCCTTCACATTCTCACATACGCCAAAAACGTGGCGGCGCTCTATCATGCGCGGCGCGCCTTGAACGGTCCGCATCGTCTACAAAATCCTGACTCACTTGCTCACACACTATTCCTTTTCTGGCGCACCCGACCCTGTGATTCTTTTTATTTCGTTTTCTTTCCTTTTCGATCCTCCTTTCCCTCTCACCCTCTTTCCCTGGGACTGAAAGAATTAAAAAAAAAACGAATTAAGAAACACCAAGAGCAAAAGACAGATAAAACGATGGAAGTGTGTCTCCCATGTGGTTCCCAGAATGTCTCACATGTGAATCTCTGCGGCCTCAGTAAATATATTCACTCACGCATATGCATGCCCACACACTCGAACAAATTACAGCAGAAGAAGAGGCGGAAACAAAGAAAAAAAAAGGAAGTTGTTTTCTCATCACCGCCCAGACAAATGCAAGGCAATCTATGGTTCGCTATATTACTCGCGCCCATGCAGCGCATGCCTCAATTAGGGGCAAACAGTTTGTCTATGTGAACAAACAAATGATCCACACGCTTGTAGAAACTCTCGGCGCACACAAATAAAGGGTCCACAGGCTCGACATCGGGGAAGCGACTGGCGTCAGCTAGCGTGTAAAGTTTTCTGTCAGTGCCCAGGCAACGCAGAGCTAGGTTGCGGTGGGCATCCTTTATGAGTGGAGAGCAGCCCGGGGCGTGTGGAACGTCGAAGAGCGCTCGAAAGTATGTGAACTGCGCACGCACTGCACGCACTGATGCGGCACTTCCACCCGAGCGGTAAAATTGCTGGATTATCTTGTGACACATCTGCGTCAGACAGTTTGCCAGGTACGTGAGGGGCAATGGGTAGCTGCAGTTGGAGCAGACGTAAACCTCAAAAAGAGCGGTTGGGGGGGCTTTTCTTGTATCAGACACGATGTCGTTTATATACTTGTGAGGATCAATCGGAACAACCTGGCGGCAATGCGTGCACTGCACCTGCAACGGCAGCGCAGTTGGAAAACACTCGGACAGCTCACGGCTCTTGAAGAGAGAGCAGTGCGAAAAGTCGTCTATGGTATATGTTTCCGTATCCCTGCGCTCTGCTTGTCCATGGTACGCAATTCCCATCGCCTCGCTCAGTTGTTGAGGCGAAAATCCTTGGATGTACTCGCACAAACGCATCACAGGTGGGTACAACTGTGACGACAGATACCACTCTACGTCAATACGACACCCCTTAGTCCGTCGCACCTCATCCACGTGGTAAGCCTTGTCTTTAGGGTCCTCAGACTCGCAAATCACATATGGGATGAGATCCCCAACGCGAACATTTTCCTTCCGCTGCTTCATGCGAAGGGCAACTGTGGCATGGGGAAACGCCGTTCCACGGTACGACTCCGGTTCCTTTGTCAAACTCTTTGAAATGACAAAATCTTCAAGAGGATACTTCCCCCCACAGCGGACTTGATCCGCGACGCCCTTCATGTATGTCATTATATAGTCGAGGATGTCCTCACCGCCTTCTGCGTTCAGGACTCTATTAAGCACCGCATCCGACATTTTCTGAGAAAGTGGACACCAATCTCTACGCACCATGTCTAATCCCTTCACCTCTTTCTTGTAGGTAGTGCCATCACCTTGCCAGTCTACGACGCTCAGTGCTGCATACTTTTTCTTCTTAAGTAGGAGCATCGCCCTGAAAACACCATCAATGTCCAACTCCAGACTTTGGTACCGTTGATTGACCTTGTTTTTAATATCAAAACCAAGCTCGCGTACCTTTTTGATGTCATCCTTTATACCAGTTTGAATCATCACAGAATCGGTATCACCGTAGATAATTCTTAGCGACGGTGAAATTTGTGGAATCAATTCCACAGTATTCTGCAAGGCAAGACGACCTTGCCGAGTGACCAATTCAGCAAGTGGCTGCGCATAAAAACGTGAATGCTCAAAACCTAGGCACCCATACATACTGTTCGCCGTTAGTTTAAGAGCCTTCTGTCGAATTTCAAGTGTAGCAAGATTATTAGGGTCTTTTTCATTTTTCATGATGCGTTTGATCTCTTTCCTGCTCTCCACAAGGCTTCGAATGACTTTTGGCAGAATGCATCTGTGTAAGCACGGTGACGGCAATCCTTCGGCAGCACAAGAGCGGCAAATAAGGTTCTCAGGTGGAGGAACCTCAGCAGATGTGGTGTTTTCATCTCGCTCAACGGTGGTATAGCAAATGTTGAACTCCTGAATGAGAGAAGGATAAAGCGAGTTGAAATCCAGCAAAAGAATGTAATCGGAATAAAGTCCGCTCCGTGGTTCCAGTACCATACCACCCTGATATTTTGTCTTGCGTTTGCTCTCATCCTCCGCATCCTCTCGGCCCCGCTTTGCCTCAAACCGCTTCTTGTCCGGAGTCACAAACTTCAGGTCGTGAAAAGAGTGAAGAAGAAGGTACTCAATTCTTTCCGAACGAGCACCATATAGAGTCCGACTCCATAAATTTCCCGCTAATGACGTTAAACGTTTCGTAAGCGGAATCACGTCAAGAAAAGCAGCCACATCAACAGAAACCACCGCGCAATTAAAGAGCTGCAACAAGATGGGGAAGAGATCCGTTGATGTCTTCATGACACGTTCGTCCAAGACCGTAGAGCCAGGTTCAAAGGATACCTGGCCATTGGCAATACCCGAGATTTCCATCTGAGCACACAAAGACAACAACTTGTAGTTTGAACTTTTGTAGTATTCTCTGGAAAGAAGATAGGTGTCGACGACAAGTCGGCCCACACATGCCTCCCTTTCACTCGCTAAATTTGAGGTGTTGCCCTGTAAGCGTGGAAAACGCTTAATATCGAGGCGACCAATTGTAGACCAGCGGGGGACTTTCAGTTCATGGTAGCGATTCAAGAGAATATCCATGGTATAACCAATGATATTATGACCCACAACCATGTCAGGATCCAAATCCCCTAGTGTAGCTGCAAGCCAAGCTAAAAGCGCCCCCTCGCTAGCAAAGCGCCGCACACCAGGTAATCCTTTTGACTGACAATAGTTTTCCAGATCCAATGGCAGAACCGATCCCGGTGATACCTGTCGAACCCCCGTAAAACACTCTGATACCGCTTTTTTCGTCCCCACGTCAATGTTTACGTCGCGGTAAACGGCAATTGAAGCGGCTACAACCTCATTTGCCACACCTTTTTTGTCAAGTTGAGTGTGTAGCTGGATACTCGCAAGAGTGAAGGATGGTGGAGGTCTCGGCGAATCCTCAACCTTTATATGCTTGGGGGTCTCCACTATAAACTCCACGTCACAATGTGAAATACGCTCTGTTGTTGGGATGAGGTTCTCAAGACGAAGATAGGATGGACCCATGAGCCTCTTCTTTATTAAGAAAAGCTCAAGAAGTGATCGCGACGCACCCATAACAGCCTGGATGTTGGTAAACTCCACCTTGCTAGGAAAAGGAGGATATTTTCCTGGAAAACGAAGCTTCGCCCAGCGATTCTTCTCGCGAGGAATTCCCGGTTCATCAAAGGCATAATACCGCTCCACAAATTTTACTCGTCTCTCTTCTATACCATGCCTCCGGCAGACGCTGTTTATCTCCTGGACGACATCGGTATCAGAAGACCCTTCCCTGGGAAGCAAAAAAATATTCCGTTGAACATTTTGAACCCTGATACAACAGGAACGGCAGGTGGTACTTTCTCCACCCTCCCCGCATAATTTACCAAAAAGAAGCACAGTTCCTGGGGCAGACATCATGTGAGGCTGTTCCTTGGCATCCAACCAATAAAATAGGCCACTAGAAGGGCACTCCACAGCAGCGCTATTCGAGCCACGTATAGGTGTAGTGTGGGTCTCCGTGGGGAGCTCACCCACAACGTTTAATTCCTTTACAAAGCTATCCCTCACCACATAGTTGGCCTCATTTCGCTTGTCATTGTTGCCCCTATTCAGGGCAGCCTTTGAGGTGTTGGACTGCTTTTCATACGTGAAAACCTCATCGTCAAGACTCACCAATGGAATTTCCTTCTCTTCCTCCACCAGCTTCTGGAGAGTGTGGTTCTTCCCCGACATCAAGGATGATAAAAAATCACCAGCAGTAACGTCATCTCCTCCTCCTTCTTCGTCACTGTTAAATGCGTCATCTTGCAAAAACTTTGTGATGTCGACGTCAGCCTCTTCATCTTCTTCAGCGGAAAGGTTCCGATACTTGTTCAGCAGTTTTTCCATATCCGGTGCGCTCATCGACTGAGCCAGCTTTTGCTGCTGTGACTGGGTACTTTTTGGAGCAACTGTCACCTTGGTAGCCCGCTTTGTCTTGCGCTTCTTTCTCTCGGTAGGCAATGTCAGACTCCCACTCTCCATCACGTCTTCGTCACCCGAATCAATCATCGCTTCTTCCTTGAGCTTTTGCCATTGCTCCTCTACTGAGTCGGTAAAGGCGGACACTGCGGCTCGGTTTTCTCGTTTCTGCTCCCCCGAGCGGCAGCTTTCCCATTGCTCCATTATTGCTTTAAAACAGACTAAAAAAGAGGAAAGAAGAAATATCTAGGCAAAAGAAAAGAAAACCACCACTCCTAAAACCATTCACAGCAGCAGTGCATCTAACCGGTGAAAAGAAAAATGAAACAGCTTGTCGAGATTCAAAACTACAACATGCGCACATCTCTCTGGTCATGTCGTCATCAACAGATACAATCACTTTTAATGTTGTCGCTTTTAGAACAGCAACAATATATGTCTCGTTTCCCCTAGCACAGACCAACAGCACCCATCACAATCAGTGATCAAACAAAAACTAAAAGGTAGCCCTCAAACCTTCTCCTCCTTATCCAGCTGCCTGCAAACATCGGCGAGTATGCGAACGTTTTTCACCGAAACTGCAAGTTGCCTTGCCAGATTAACAAGCGAAACCTTTTCTCCTCGACCCAGCTCCAACACTTCGCTGGGAGGAAGCATTACAATTTTGAGCGCCGTGGCAATGCCCATTGTTTGTAGCTTTCCCCATGCACGGCACTTTTCACACGTGACGCAATCCATTAGTTTCGTGATATTGTACACCATTCGTTTCATTTGAGGAATAAGATTGTGAGCCTTTGGGGATTCGAGAAACTTCGCCTCGTTAAACGTTGCAGAGCACAACAAGTGGGCGTTGAACAGTTCACGGATTTCCGTATGAAGAAGCTTGTCTTCTGCGGTAGCAACTCCTCCAGCTCCTGAGTTGAATGCGTTGACGTCCGATAAAAAAACCTCTTTTGCCTTTGTGAGTGCACGCAGAACAAACTGGTACAATACGTAGAGGTTGTTCACAAAACCCGCATTATTCACAACACGGCTGTACATTCCACAGTTTGGAAAAAAAGAGATATTCGGATTCTTGAGCACACCAAGCTGACGTAGCGGAGACTTTCCCTCCTTGTCCTTGTGAAAAAATGCGGCAACATGCATTGTAATGGAGGTATGTAAGCCACTTATTAACTTGCGAAAAACCTGCTCCTCTTTGCACTCCTCATCTCCACTGGATCCACCTTCCTGAGAACCATAGGTCATGCAATTCTCATTGTAGATTGCCTGCCAGACACGGCCTGCCATGGGGCCTGAGTATCCAGTGTTTCCTTCTGGGTTCTGAACAAGGTCCACATACGTTGCAGCATCATCAGATTCCCTCCAAATGCCCCACATATCCACATTGGTTGGCTTTGGAATCGCATAAGAAACACGAGAGTCAATCACAGAGGGGTCGCTCATATCATGGGGATACTTCAGAGCTTCAGGGACCTCATTGGCATCGCATGAACACACCTGACAACTATTTTCCTCACTGGTGCACAAAAGTTGTACTGCCCAATAAGGACATGGTTTTTCCAAGTTCACCTTGAAGAAACGAAAAAAGGGACGACTCGTGATGTTGTTCAGGAGATCAGTGACGCCTTCCGTACCTCTACTTATTTCATCAAGTGTGCAGCAGCAGTAGCTTTCCTCGAGTGGGTGGCTTTCGTGATCCGTCTCGGCGTTGTCAGCCTTCCCATTCTCTTCGACCACAGCCTTTTGACCTGTCATGGCTCTGAGACCAAAATCTTCAATGAACACCACATAACAAAGGAGTCCGAGAACAATGGGCAAACCCAACCATGTAAACTTCCGGAACATTTCCTCTTGGCTTGCAGTTCTTTACGAGAACAATTGGCCCCACACACCAATATCAAAAAAAAAGGAGAATGCTAAACCATTGAGAAGCACGCCGCCACCCGCAGAAGGAACGACAGGACAACAAAAAAATCGCACCAAAGGCAAAGCCACCAACCCAACACAGACACGCCCAGCCCCCAGGCAGAAGCGCAAAAAAACAAAAAAAAACGAGCGCCGGCGGGGGCCCGTTCCCGCGCCCCCTTCTCCACACCGCGGGGCGCGCCCCTCTGCCTTTCCTTGCCGGGACGCCCCCCGCCACCCCGGCTTCCCCGGCAGGGGGTCGGCCGTATTGAACCCCCCC